CATTCCTGCATCTGCTGGAATTCAGTCTCCCCAAGGCCTCATTCCTTTGGGAAAACCAGGCAGAGATGTAGAAATCACCCAGAGCACTTAGCAAGTGCTCCCTGCGGATCATTTGGCTTGCAACTTTCAGAAGGAACCAAAGCAAGAGAGAGCTTGGGGCTAGGCAGTCTCGCATCTACTGGTGCAAAAGTTAGAACTCAGAAACTCTCTATTCTTGCTTTTATTTGTTTAGCCTTTCATTTTAGCTAAAAGAAAGCATTTGGGAATGGGGTTGAGAAGCTCGCAGCCCGCCGGGACCCTGAGCTTGGCCCAGGCCGGGGGGACCCAGCCTGTCCTTGCTGTTGCCCCCATCCCCACTCAGGGCACTGGTGCAGGGAAGCGGCGCGGCCCCCCGGGCTCCCCAGCGCCGGCGCGTGGAGCGAGCGCGGGGCCCTGCAGCCCCCCTCCTCCCGGCCCGGTGGAGGGGAAGGAAGAGGGGCCGGGGCCGGACAATGGGCTGCGGGGAGCTGACTCAAACAGCCAGTTCCTGGTCATTTCCTTTCTCTCTGCGCTGGAGAAAGGGTCCAGAGGCGAGCAGGAAGCTCAGCCGCTCCGCGCACCTCGGCCGCGAGGGCCGGCAGGCGAGCGGGAGCGTGCGGTGGCTGCACCTTCAGCCCAGCCCTCTGCACGGCCATGGCCAAGGCCGAGTCGCTCCTGCTGTCCCGGCACCGCACAGGTAAGGCGGCCGGGCCCGCGGGAGGCACTGCCACGGAGCCACACATCTCCCATTCCGCTGCTTCCAGCGGCAATGGTGTCCCTTGCGCTGGGGGGTGGCATTGCTCTGCTGGCCGTGGTGGTGATGGCTGCACGCGCCTGCCATCGAGCGTGTCCTTGGGCCATGGCTGAGCGCAGTGGGACCTGCCGTGCACCGTGCTGCTGCGGCCCCCAGAGCCGCCCGCGGACCGCGGTGATGGAGCTCACGCCTGGGGCCCCTTTGTCCCCAGGCCTGGCCACACTCCTCCCGCAGGCCACTTCCTCGCATTGTCCCCGCGCCCGGAGCGCGCAGAGAGCAGCAGGGCACAGGGGAAACGGCGCTTTCCTGCAAGCTCCCAGCTGAGGCTGAGAGGCGTGCGTGGCCTGCACAGCACCTCGGGGTGCTCCGAGGTGGTGGGGAGCTCGCAGGCAGCAGAGGCGCGTGAGCAGGGGAGGGGGCAGACTGCAGAGCGGGTCCTCGGAGGTGGCATCATCACCTGGTTGCGGGGGAGCAGGTCACGGAGTGCGCAGACCTTGTCTTGTGGCTACCTTCCTGCTTGGGAAGGTGCTGGGCCCTGCCCGCTCCAGCTGGACCCTTGGCAGAATGAGGCCGCTTCCCTCGCGGTGGCATCCACCATGAGGCTGCAAGGTGCTCCGTGAAGGTCTCGGGTTTGGGTGAGATCAGCCCTGCCGGGGAGGACCCAGGTGTCCCGGCAGGAGCCGCGCTTGGACGGGCAGCAGCTCTTTCGCTGTCACTGTGACTGACTGTCGCGGTGGGTTGGTTGCCATGGCAATGGCTCCCGGAGCCACAGAGTGCCCCACAGGGCACAGGCAGCTGGTGCCAACCTCACCCAAGGTCCCCAGGCACCGGTGGTGGGAGCATTCAGCATCCGCGTCCCCTCCGTACCTGCCCCGTGGCAGGGTGAAGCAGAGGTGATGGGTCCCAGAGCTTGTAATTTGTTCCAGGACTTCCTCACGGTCTGTCCTGTCTGGGCAACATGCTGTTAACTCTGAGCCCTACTGATGTGTACTGATGTTAGCAGGTATTTTGCCGGTGGTGGCTTCAAGCAAAAAACATCTTGCACAGCCCAGCTCTCTTCCCACGAGCTGAATGACCCTCCCTGCTGCCGAACCCACCCACCCTTGCCATCAGCTTCTACAATACCATCAGCTCCTGTCAGTACAAAAATCAGCTGATTGCCTGCAAAGCAGAGCGGGAAGGGTGCCTAGCGCCTGTGGCACAGTCAGTATAGCACCGTGGTGTTAATCTTTAATGAATTAAAGATTTAATTTTAGCTTGAGGCTGCTGCTGTGAAAAAAAAAAAAAAAAAAGCTGCTTTGCTGCACAGCATTGATGCTGAGTGCCAGGATTTGGCCAGGACATCCCTAGCGGAGCAACACCAGCTGTGTCTCCCTGCTCTCCCCATCCCGGGGTTGCTCCTGGCTGCAGTAGTCCTTCCTCATTTGGGTCCCGCTCCATTTTGCCAAAAATAAATACTTTTGCACCATAAAGTGGCTTGAAGTAACCTGCCACCCCTCTCTTCCTCCTGGGCCTTTGAGGAGTCGCGTTCAAAGCTTGCCACAAGCTTGCAGCTATGCAGCAAGCAAGAAGATGATGCAGGGCTTGGAGTAGCTGTGGGGTGAAGCATGGGGTTGTAGTTCAAGGCCATGTAGATTCAAGCTGCTCCTGCAGCACCATGGTCAAACCACCCCACGGAGGAGTGCGCCCAGGGCGGGCAAGACGAGCGCCCGGAGCGAGCGCTTGAGTGCAGTGAGCAGTGCTCACTTGGCTGGGGGCATTGGGTTGGTTGGCAGAGGAGCTGCTTCGTATCCCGAGCTTTGCACCGGATCCCTGTCCAGCCCCGGAGGCTGTTCCATGCCCAGCAGAGTCATTTGCCGTTAGGTCTCTCAGCGGGGCTGCTGGACCGAGGCATCCAAGTTCGGCAGGAGACGGACTCGGGACAGGAAGGGCTTTGCATTGGGGTTGCCAGCTCCTGCTGTTTGCTATTTTCTGTTCCCCTCCGTCAGCCGCAGCCTGGTGTGCGCCTTGGCTTGCTCCTGTGAGCTATGTCATCCGGCTACCCGCGCCGCGGAGCTTCTGTGCCCTCGGCAGGCCGGGACGCTCGCTCGGAGCCGGCAGCAAACAGGCTGGGCACTGCCCTGTGCTGGCTTCTCTCGGTGCTGTTTGGGTTGCTGTCGGGATCGGCTGCAGCCTTGCAGCTTACGAACCGTCACCGCTGCTCTCCGGTACCTGTTGCCATGGCCGCTCGGTTGACGGTCCATCGCCCGCGGCCGCTGTCGCGCCGTTCCTGTGGTGCCGCTGCATCGATGACAAGGAGCAGGGCAGCAGCACCCACTTCCCTGCAGCATGCCTGAGGACAAGGAGTTTTTGTTGGGGAGCTCAGGCCAGAGACGTCTCGCCGTAACTTCACCGTGGGCAGAGGCACCTGACGATGGCCCTGTCAAACATCTCCGTGTGGATCCGGGATGCTTGGGCAGTAGGTAAACACTGGGTGCCGGACGCGTGTGGTTTCAGGGGGATGCACATATGGTGGTGCGTGCTCTGCAGCTGGCAGTGCAGCAGGGACTCCTTCCTCCACGGAGAGAACGGATTCTGGCTCGAGCAGGAGCTCTGCTCAGAGCCTGAGGTGGGAAGAAAGCCTCCAGTGGCTTCGGACCTGGTCCTTCTCCTAGAAAATAGCGTAAGCTAAAGCGCCGTCCCGAGACTGAACACTTGCTCGCGCTGCATGACAGTCAGGGGCAGGAGGAGGTGTGCAAGGGGCCAGGGTTGCCCCGCAGCAGGGGCGCTGTGGCCAGGACCGGCGATTGCCCTTGGGGCCAGCGTGCAGCCCAAGCTGCTCACCCTGCACACCCACTGCCGGCTGCGCGAGCACCCTTGTTCCTCAGGGCACAGTTGGAGGCAGGAAGGGAGCTGGGGCCAGCTCCATGCAATCCCCCCAGTGCCTCGATTTCCCCCCTGGCAGCGAGGCAGGCAAAGCTCAGGTTGGGAATGTTGCAGAGCGCGTGGGGACAGAGTGTCCAGCTTATTTTGAGCCTGTCGCTGATAAGCGTGGCAGGGGGTCAGGGGCCCTAGGGGACCCAGCAGTGACTCATGTTCCCCTCTGGGACTTGGTTGTGACCATGAAGACCGAACCAGAGCCAAGGGTCCACCCTGTGGGAGATGGGCTGGTTCCCCTCGGAGAGTGCCTGGCATGGGGTGAGGGAGCAACTCCTGTTTTGCTGGAGACCCCGGGAAAGGTTTTTTGGCATCCCCATGGCAACGCTGGTACTTGAACCACAATCCCAAACTTGCTTTTGGAAGGAGCCAGTGCCTGACTGCTCCCAAAAATAGCCCAGCCCTCGGGACAGCGTTATCAGCCCTCGAGGCTGGCGGGGGGCCAGGCCTGGGGTGCTGGTCCATGGGCCACGCTGCAGGGTCGCTGCAGGCCGCCAGCCCACGCAAGGCCAGGGCCCTAATGGGGACCCAAAGTGCTTCCAAGCACTTCCAAGTGCTTATGCCTTTGACTTTTGCAGCCTGGAAGTGTGGAAGTAAGGGGTAGGGGCTGTTGTGTGTGGTGTCGGGCAGCAATGCCCTCTCCCTCTCCATCGCCCTGCTCCAAGCAAAAAAAAAAAGCGCTGTCTGGGCTGCATGCGCCCATGGGGCTGCGGGGACAGCAGGAGTGCAGGGCGGGGGGACACAGGCAGCACCACCACGGTCTGTGTGCGAGGGATGGCGAGGGCAGCCCTGGCCACGCTTCCCTTTTGCGCCAAGGGCGGCCCCGAGTTTCGGTGCTGCGGTTTGCCCACGTGGTTTGAGCCCACAGGGCGGGTGCTGGTGGTTGGCGAGGACACCCAAGGCCATCCAGAGTGAGCGGGTCTCTGGGCAGCACCCAGGGGTGCAGGGCTGAAGGACACCTAGGTAAGCTGCCTGCTTTGTTCTCACTGGCTCCGGGGAGGCACAGGAGGTCAATGCTGGAGAGGGTTTTGGTGGAGATGGAAGTGGCATGGTGCCAGGCTGCCCTGCAGCCAGGCTGGAGGCAAGGCGGGCAGCAGGGTGCCTGCAGCAGGCTTAGGGCTCCGGCAGCAGCAGCACGAGGGTCGGAACTGTGGTCAGCGGGGTCCCCAGCTCGCTGGGGTCCCTCAGAGATGCTGCAGGGTCCACGGGAGATGCTGCAGGAAGCTCTAAGACGGACAACCCTGATTGTCCCTGGGGGACAATAGCAGCAGAAAGGAGCTGGTGTGGCACACGGCAGGAGTGTTGCTGCCTGCAGACCGCATCGCGAGGCTGAAGCAGTGCAAGAGCCGGGACATAGTGCAGGTTACTCGCCCTTCCCCAATGCTCCACGCAGGGGCCTTGGCTGTGGGCAAGAGGGATACAGTGGAGCGGAGTGACACCCCTCAGCTCGCAAAAGAGAGCAGGGACCTGGTGGCCAGAGCATGGAGGAGTGATAATGAGCCCAGGATGGTGGCTCGCTTCCCACAGCTGCATAGGGTCATGCTTTTAGGGAGGGTCATGGACCCAGCTCCACGCACTTCCCATGCTCCTGGCCCTCTTCTCCAGCAGACAGTGACAATCCTGGGACAAGCAAGTGCAGATTGCGCTGCAAGGGGCCGGGAGCTGGGCTGCTGTCAGTGTGGCACCCCTGCTTCCCGCTGCAAAGGGAAATTTTCCAGGGGGAAAATTTCATCCTCCTGCTCAGCTTGGGGCAGGATGTGCAACACCAGCTCTGCCCCAGGAGCATCCTCAGTCGCTGCCCTGTGCCAGCCCCTGGGCGTGTGGGCTCTGCGTGAATGGGCAAAGACCCAGCACGATGTACACCAGGCGCAGAGACACCTCTCGGTTGATATGGAAACGAGTCAAATTATTTAAAGGAAGGGGAAAAAAAAAGGCAAAAAAAAAAAAAGCAGAAGCAGAAGTCTTGTGTTAAGGCACGTCGTTATGGAAACCCAAATTATAAAAGTAACTAGGCTAGGGATGTGGCACGTTGCTTTCGGATGCGGGGCGTTGTGCAAACTCCGGGTGCCGGGGGGGAAGGGAGGGCAAGCAGCATGCTGAGCACGGCGGCCCCGGGCAGCGCGGGCCAGAGGTGGCCCCGGGGGAGCGGCAACAAGCCCAGCACGGATCTGGATAGGGGTCAATGCCCAAACTGCTGTGCGTAGGTGCAACTAGGGCTCTGCTTGGCAGCGAGCAGAAGGGAGACAAGGCACCAAACTCCAAACCAAGGTGGTCCTGATGCCACTGTCTGACTTGGCTCCTTCCCAATTCCCGGGAAGACTCAGCACCTCCCCATCAGCAGAGCAGGCTTGTGATGGGTGTCGCTGGCGCGTGTCACGTCTGTGGGCCCAGGGACGATGCGCGCTGCGGTTTGACACATCCTGGGGGTGCTGGGCTGACGCCAGCATTTGGTCCCACCTCAACCGTTCACCGAGTTGGAGCTCATTCCGCCGAGGCAGCCAATAGTGCCGACTACACTGCAGCCCCAAGCCTGGAGGAAGGCCAGCCCTACAACCTGACCGTGGAGGGAGCATGTCCTGATCTTCCTCCCCCTCTCCATCCATCCCCCGTCTCAAAGCTCCTCTCCAGGAGGCAGGACCAGCTGCGTTGTCTCCGGAAGGGAGGGAGCCCCGGCATGCTCCGACGCATCTGTGGGATGTGCAGCATGGGTGCCTTGGCAGGGGCACTCCCTCCGCTCTGGCAGGAAGCCGCTCTGAGTCGGAAACCCACATCCTCTTTTGCTGGGTGTTTCTCCAAAACGTGGGTGCTGGGGCTGCAGGGCTTCCCACTTGCCCCCCATAATGAGACCCAAGCAAGGGAGGTCCTAAGCATCTTCCAGAGGGCTAAAGCCCTAAATGTTTCTGGATGGGCTGGGAGATGGGGTACACCAAGGGCAGGAAGCTGAAACAGGATGGTGGAAAAATCCCCTGGCCTTTTGCTACCCTCCTCTTGCCTTGTGAGGTCTCCTGCAGCAAGGAGGTTGCTTCACAGCCACCCTTAACCGAAGAACAGTTGGGCCATGGTACGGGGTAACAAAGCGTTCTTCCTTCCCCAGTTTCTCCTCTCTCCCTTCCTGACTGGTTCTACCAGCCCAGGAGAAGGCCCAACGACGGCCACGGCCCCCAAGAAGGATGTCCAGGCGCCATGTGCTAGCACTGTTGGTGGAGCCCAGTCCTGCATGGCAGTGTGGCCTGCAGAGAATGTCTAAGTCCCAGGGTGGCCTCGTGCCAAAGGTCCCTGAACGTGCAGAAGGCAGGGGAGGGCCACAGCATGGTGTGGACTACCCATCTGCTCTGATGAGGCCCATGAAGCTCCTGCATCCCCAGGTGCCTATCTTGCTCTCGGTTCGGGATAGGTCACCACCTCATAGCAATGGTTGGGGAAAACCCTCTCTCATTCAGGTCTCTCCTCCCCGCAGCCACCTCTAACCTCGACCTCGAGACCAAGAAAGCTGCCCACGCCAAGCTGCCATGGCAGCAGCCGGTGAACGTGTTCCTGGCCTCCGGCCGCCCACCAGGCATGGAGCAGCTGCACCAAGAGGCCCAGCTCAACCTCCAGAGCTTGCTGCAAGGTAGAGGGAGCGGTGGCGGGCTGGGTTAGTGTGACAAGGACAGGACAGGGCCTCTAGTCAGCGCCTGTGGCCAGCAAGGCTCCTACAAGGTTGGTGGCTAGCACGGCAACCCAGCTTTGCTCTTCCACACATCACCACATAAGAATTGCCCAGGATAACCTACAGCCATGGCTGCAGGAACCAGCAAGATCGTGCTTTAAAAGTCACTGCTGGCAACACAGACCGCATTGCAGCCTGGGCAAGTTCTTCTGGGAGAGAATTCTTCCTGTTCCACTGCAGGAACATCAGAACTTCCCTTCCCATCACAGCTCATCTTGTATCTATAGCTGTTATGGTCATCTCCTCATACGCAGTTTTATGTGGTATAGCCTCACAGCCCAGCTATAAAACTGAGACCCAGCCGACCAAGAGATGCAGATTCATTTGCTCCAGCAACCCATCCTCTGAACTTGTTTTTCTCCCAGTCACTACTAAAACATCAAAGCGACCAAGGCCAAGAACCGGTCCCTGGGCATCCACCACCCCCACGGCATTTCTGCCAATGAGGACCTGGCAGTTGATTTGTTTAATCTAATCAGCATGGCTGTTGATTTTGTTTCCTTCCAATTTCTTAATCAAGACGTCACGTGGGCTCAAATCAGATGCTTTACAGGCATCGATTAGATCAGCAGCCTGGCCTTTCTCCAACTTGTAATCTCATTAAGTTAGTCTCATCAGACCTGGTTTCCATGAGGCCATAATGGCCAGCATTAATTAACACAACAATTACAGGATGGGGAGACGCTGAGTTCCCTCCTGGTCATCCCTGGTTGGATTTACTTCCGCCTGAGTCCTGGTGCTTTCTTAGGCAATGGGGGCTGGCAGCATTGAAGCTGTGACTTGAGTGTCCCAGCCCTGGACTTCTTCCATGGGGTTTGCTGGTGGCATGGGTAGGTTTCCATTCTCCATGGTCTGTTCCTCCTCTCTGTTGCCTAAGTCCCCCTGCCTGTGGTGACCAGGGACCCAGCGAGCCAGCCAGCATCACATTGGTGTAGCCATGAGTACAGCTAGCCCTGCAGCTGGCCCAGGACCCGCAGCTCTGCCACTGCCCTATCCTGCAGACGTGAGCTGCAGTCTGGAGCACCTTCTTGTTCCTCCCTGTCCAACCCTCTGTCTCTGCAAGTGTGAGTGTGCAAATGTGAGTGTGCCTCCCAGCCAGGGCCATTCATAGGCCCTCTTAGCACCCACCTTGTCCCTGTGGGCACAGCTGGAGCACCCAGAGGCTGCTCAACCCTCGGGCTAGAGCAACACCCTGCCATTTGTCTTGCAGAAGAGTATGAGGAGCAGTACACAGAGACCAGGGTCACCGGGCAGACCTTCCGCGCCGCCGGCCACCTGCCCCCAGACACCCCCTCCGAGCCATCGCCCCGGCCCCCACCTGCCAAGCGTCTTGAGTTCGTGCTTATGGTGAGTCCCTGGGAACCCACTTTGTCCCAGACCCCAGGGAGAGGAGAGGCTGGCATGGTGACTCAGCTAGCAGGGCCATGGGTGGCCTTTTTTGCCCATCCCTCCTCCTTCCCTCAGGAGTGGCTTTGGTGATTCACGTTCCTTTATTTTTTCCCCACAGCCCCCAAGCCGGCGAGGAAACGAAGACGAGACCACCACTACCACGCTTGGTGTGAGGCCTCCCGAGGCCTCCCTGAGCCTCCCCACCACCCCAGACAAGCAGACAGGCTGGACCAGGGCCTTCCCCCTGCCCACCGTGGAGGAGAAGCAGTGGCACCAGTCCTGCTCCATCCAGACCAACATCGTCCCCATCAATGTCTCTGGTAGGCCATCACCTACACGTTATAGCTGGGAAGAAATGCTAGGCCAGGCAGCAACCCCCTCATCTTGCTCTCAGAAGGTTGTAGAGCAGTGGGAAGAATGGTTGGGGCTAGAAGCCTGTGTCCCTGCAGGCCAGGACAGCACCCAGCGCAGGGTGGTGGGGCAGCAGGATCTTGCTCGTGTGAGTCATTTCCAACCATCTCTCTTGCCATCTACAACGTTGCGCTTCTGATCTGCTGGTCACGCTACAGTCTGGTCTCTCATTTCTGCCACGTTAACCAGCTGTCATGGTCTGTTGTCACCTTGGCTCTCATCATGCGCCGTACGACCTGCGTGTCTCACCTGTCCATCCATCCATCCTTGCAGGGCTACAGCTCCCAACGCATAGATCAGTACCTTGAGGTCGTGTGCTTTGTCTGGCACACATGCTCTGCCCCGAGGCATCCCTTCTGTTAGGCATGAGCAAGGTGTGACATGCTGTGACATTAGCAATAGAGCCCAACCATGCAAAGTCCGGCCTTGCCTGCGCAGGTCAGAGCTGGATGCGCAGAGCTGGGGTGATGTCTCCGGTTTTCTGTATATCCCATCTCCATCAACAGGCTTCTCCATGGTCCCACCAGCAGGGCATACAGTGCATCACCTGCCATGCCTCCATCTCCCCAGCATCTCACACCTCATAGCTAACCGCACCCTCTCATACCCTTGCCACCACCATACCACCACAGCAGAGAGGCTTGTGACTCCAGAGCAGCATTAGTCCTCCTAGTCACTCTGTAAGAAGGACATGGTGCCAGCAGGGCTGGAATCCAGGTCCACCCTAGACCAAGCTCCTCCAAGGCAGAGGGACCAGGCACTGAACAAGTGCCCAGTGCCACACTCCCCAGTCCCCCTGGGCCCAGGAGCTCCCATCAAGTGAGGTGGCCCTGTCCAAGCAGCACGGTCCTCACAAGCACTAGCTATATGCAGCAAGAGAGCTGGACTCATGCCCGACCTCTGCCCGTGGCTGCATCGCCCTCCCGTCGCGGCCGTGTACAGCGTGTTTGTTTTGGCTACAGGGCAGCACTTTACTAGGCACGCGAGTGCTCGTCACTCCCTGTTTAACACAGAGACCGCGATGAACCCCAAGTCCACCCTGCGGCGTAGACGGACCATTATCGGATTCCCTAACCTGTCCCTGCGAGACCAAGGTGACAACAAGAACCGCGCTGCTGCTTTCGTGCTCTGGGAGTGCCCAGGCCCGGCTGGTGCCTGCCAGCACCATGCTGGAGCTGGCCCTTGGGGACATAAAGGCCACTGCCCTGCCTCTACCTCCGCCTGAGAAAAGGCTGCCCAGGCAGTCGAGGGGCTGGGCACACTGGTGATGCTGGTCTGTTCCCAGGGCTGGAGCATCATTGTTGCTGCTGAGGCTGCCTGTGCTGGCATGCTGAGGATGCTGTCGTGGCTGAGGATGCTCACAGTAGCCTTGGCTGGCCCCAGATGACTGCACTGCCATGGACCCATGTTTGACCCCTGGGCAGTCAGTGTCTGTCATGGTTTGAGGGTTCACCTCCTAAGGGATGATGCAGGAAAGCAAGCCAGATTCTTCTCAGAGGTGCACTGGGCCTGGACACAAGCTGAAACAGGAGAAACTCTCATAGGAAGAAGGAAGATTTTCCCCATGTGGGTGGTTGGACACTGTGGTTAGGGACCAGAGAGGTTGTCACGGTCCCTTCTTTAGGGACTGTTCGACCTCACGAGGACATGGCCTTGAACATCCTGATGTGGCCTCTTGTTCTCTGAGCAGAGGACCACACTAGACTCCCCAGGTTTCTTTCCAGCTGCAATTTTGTGACACAAACAAGAGGCAGCCTGTGTGGCACCAATGAGAGCTATCTCGTCCCTCCCTGACCCTAGTGGTGGTGGCTTGCTCTGCTCTTTATGAGTCCCATCTATGCTACCACCTACAGGACAGCACTGGGCCAGCACTTTGGTCCCCATGAGGTTGATGTCCCCATGCAGAGACTTCCACCTCTGCTGCTAAATCATCCGTGCAGTCCCTGGCATGGCCCAGACAATTCTCAGAGCTACTCTGAGGGCTAACAGAGGCCATGAATTGTCCCCATTTGTGATGTGGCTACCCTGATTAATGGGCTTTGAGAATATCTGATAAGAGGATGCAAACCCTTCCCTGCCAGTCTGTCCAGGCACGTCACACTCATGCTAGAGATGCAGAGATGGGCTAGGGACTCGAAATAGTGTTGCCCTCGCAGCACCCGGGTACTGCCAAGCCGCAGGTGCAGGGCTGTGCCATTGACCCGCTGTTGGGGAGCAGAAAGGTGCCCAGGGTGGCCCTGGTGCGGGCACCGCTCTCTGGCGCCGTGCACATGGGCAGCCCTGGCCTGCGCAGCCCCAGCTCACTGGAGCTCATGTCTGTCCCCGCAGGCAGCCCCAACGGCCCCACGTTCAACGCGCACGCGCCCATTGCGGAGTCCGTGTCCTGCAGCTTTGTGCCTGAGAGAGCTCATGCCCCAGGAGATAAGCCCCCGCCAGCCACTTTCCGCTCCGCTGAGGAAGACCTTCAGTGACCTAGGGGAGACCCGGTGCTACCAGACACCCACCAAGATGGACAGTGCAGCCATGGCCTACACCGGGGCCTGCAATGGGCCACAGGGCTCCACCTTCTCCCCAACATGGAGCTCCAGTTCCTTCAGCTACGTGAGTCCCCCCAGCCCCGCTGCAGGCCAGAGCAAGGGACCTGCGTGTTCGTCCCCAGGCAGCTCCAGTGCGTCGCCCATACTGGGCTCCCCCGCGAACACTGAGCGGGCGGCCTCCTTCTTCATTGCCAAGGAGGAGCACGTGGGCAGCAACGGGCCCAGCTCCTTCTCCTATCCAGTGCCTGAATTTCCCCCAGCCAATGCAGGTGGCCAGAGGTGCGAGGGCCGAGAAACCAGAGTGAATTTCTCCCCAGGAAGCAAAGAGGAGGCAGAGACGGAGAGGGAGCCGTCGCGCCTGGATGTGGATCGGGCAGCCTGCCGGTTTCGTGAGCGGTCGCTGTCGGTGCCCACTGACTCAGGATCCCTGTGCTCCATGGACATTGCATATGCTGAGAACCGGAGAGGCAGCACCAACTACACCTTGAACTACCCCAGTGCCAGCTCTGAGGGCAGCACAAGCACCGATAACGTCTCCCTGGGGCTGGAACACGATGCTCAGCAGAGGCGGCGCTCCAAAAGCATCTCCCTCAAGAAGGCCAAGAAGAAACCATCACCACCTACACGCAGCGTCTCTCTGATTAAAGATGAGCAAATCACCCTGGGGGGGTCTGGCCCTGTGTTGCCAAAGGATCAGAGACCCAAGAGCCTGTGCATCTCGCTGGACACTCAGGGCCACCGGCTGGTGCACTCAGATCCACAGGGGAGCACAGGCAGAGAGCCCGATGGTGTGGCCCGCTCCCATCAGTGGTATCTCACAGACTGGAAGTCTGGAGATCCCTACCAGTCGCTCTCCAGCTCCAGTACAGCAACAGGGACCACAGTGATTGAGTGCGTCAAGGCACGGGGCAGCTCTGAGTCCCTCACATCCCCCTCTATTTCCCGGGCCACAACACCCTCCCAACTCTCCACAGAGGTGGACCTCAAAACCTCTTCCCCGGGTCGGCGCACTGGATTGATGTCCCCATCTAGCGGGTACTCCAGCCAGTCGGAGACTCCAACTCCGACCATCCCCACATCAATGATCCTTGGACACTCCCCACACCAGGTGCGCGTGAGGCCACTGGTCCCAGAGAGGAAGTCCTCACTGCCCCCTACGTCCCCCATGGAGAGAAGCCCCAAGTCCAGGCTCTCCTTTGACCTGCCTCTCACACCGCCCGCCCACCTGGACCTCTCAGGGCTGAAGATCTCCCTAAAGGGGAAGATGAAAGTCAGCCGACACCACTCGGACTCCACCTTTGGCACCAAGCTGGTCCAGAAGACCAGCCCCATCCAACCCATCATGCCCATGGTCACACAGTCCGACCTCCAGTCTGTCCGCCTGCGCTCCATCAGCAGGTCGGAGCCAGAGGACAACACAGACGGCCCAGACCATGGTGAGGAGCCAACACATGGTCCCTGCACTGTGCCCGAGAGGAAGGTGAAGCCGCCCGTGACAGAGAAGCCACCACTGGCCAGAAGACCCCCAAACATCCTGCATAAACCCCTGACCCTGCGGGAGGAGGGTCCCCTGTCCCCCACGTCCCCACCAGGCATGACCACCAAGGAGAAGGACAGCTTCATGGTGTTGCGGAAAGGGGAGCTGAGGAGGAGTCCGGCAGAGCCCCTCTCAACCTCAGCCTTGGCAGGGCTGCGGCGGCTCTCACAGGGCAGCCTGGAGGATGAGCCACGGCCAGAGCGTAGCGGTGCCACGGAGGGGGAGCGGAGGAAGTCCAAGGTCCCCCCGCCAGTGCCCAAGAAGCCCAGCGTGCTTTACCTGCCACTCACACCGGTGCCAGCTCAGCAGGGAGCCAACACGGGGGACCAGGCACTGAGCCCCAGCCCCATCATCACACTGGATGCTGACACCAGCTGCTGCGACCCAGATGCCGATGACTTCCCTCCTCCAGTGGCCTTGGGCACAGCACAAGGTGACGAGACCCCTTCTGAGCAAGGTGAGTGTCCCTCTGCCTCCTCTCTCCCTTCCCTGCACCCATGTCTTGTTTTACCCCAGGGACAGGGGACCAGCGAAGATTCCCTTAGCATCACCCATGTAGGGCATTTCACAGGTGCCTTCTCCCCATGCACAGGCAGCTCAGCAGAGGCTGGTGTGGAGGAAAAGAGCTTTGCAAGCGACAAGACAGCCGACTCCATTGCAGAGGAGGATGATGATGTGTTCATGGCATCCCGCACCACAGAGGATCTGTTCACTGTGATCCACAGGTAGGACCAGGGACATCAGCGGCTCTGGTACATGGGCAGCAGCTTGGTGTGCAGTAATGGGCATGGCCTGTTGAGCCGGATGTGCCCATCCATGGTCACAGAGTTGAATACAACTCTCCCCCCAGCCTCAAATATTCTGCACTAGGGTTGATGCTCAAGAACAAATTCAGTGTAATCCCCCAGGAGATTCAGCCTCATGCACTTACAAGATGGAAGAGCTTTTTTTCCCTAGTCTGCAGGTCACCAGACTGCAAATAGAGTCTGTTCAGCTATCAATTCTGGGACAAATTGGACCTGTCTACTAGGACAGCACTTGAAGGTAGCTCATGCCTTCCCAGTGCCTTACCCAGACACCAAACAAACTGTTTGTCGTGTTTCTGGCAGAGCAGGAACAGCTGGGCAGATAACATGCCCTCCATCCTTTAGATGTTCCCTGTGGTAGGACAGTACTGTGGTAACTCATCCATGCATGCAGCTCCTGCCCAGGGCTGCTCCCAACACACATCTCTTTGGTGCTTAGGTCGAAGAGGAAGGTGCTTGGGTGGAAGGAACCCGGAGACACATTTGGCAGCCGGCCCAATTCTCACTCACCTGTAAAGACTTCAGGGTCTCCAACCAGTGAGTCCCCTGCAGTGGCCGTCAGCA